GACCGTGGCCTTTACAAACTTCTCATTTACTTCTGCGTATTTCTCTGTATGCATGTACTTCTTTAGGGCATTATATTTTATAAACTTTTAACTGTGCTCTCATCCTTTCAAATTCTATTATCTGTAGTCTGTTAGAAACATTTTTAGCTGTTCTTGAGTATTATTCAAACTTGTCATAGGAGCCAAGTGCTGCTTTGAGTTGCCCTTAAATAGTTTGCCCATTTTCTGATAAAGCCTTTCTTGTCTATCATCTATGATCAGCACTGCTTTACTTTTTCTCTTAAATTGGAATTCTTTTAGGTTTATTAATGTTACAGGCCATTTCCCAGAAAATCATTTTTCTCCGGGTTTTATATTTCATATGCATAAGTGGAAGTGGAAAGGTGGGGGAGTTAAATATTTCCCAGCTATGATTTACTTCTTTCCAACAGCACTGCGACAAAATGTCAAATTCTCCAGTTGTAGATGTTGCAAAATGCAGCTTTCTGCTGTTTGTATTTTTAGCAACTTAGCTATGTTCAATTAACTTTTTGTTAATGTGGCACAAGATTAATTTTACAGTGAGAGCCCCAAGTGTCTAAAATAGTTCGATCACCTTCATCACTTCCCTTTAATGGGACACCATAGAATTAACTCTAACACCCTGCTGGAGGAGAGTATTGCTAGGGGAGATGGGCCTCTTGAGACTGGAATCACTTAATTTTTGTTGGTTTTAAAGAGTGTGTGTGTGTGTGTGTGTGTGTGTGTGTGTGTGTGTGTGTGTGTGTGTGTGTGATTTTAACCATGGACCAGCCAATATTAGTCAATAGCCTAACATCACAATTATTGTTGGTATTGATGTTTAATAAATTAGTCAGCAATGCCATCTCTCTTGATCAATTGCTCACTCCAAACATCAAATTCCCAAGGAGTGCATTAAGTCACACCAACTCTCATCTTGGAAAAAGCATTAGTTAACCATATTAATATTTACATTGAAACATAAATATACTTATGCACATATCTCATAAACCTGACATTTTTGCATCAAAGACTGAATGTTATTGACCTTAAGAGACTAAGCTATTTATTTTGTACAAATCTTTCTTATTATTAAGATCAGATAAAGTTCAAAGTTACAATTTTAGTCAATAAATTAAAAAATACATCCATCTTTCAGCTATCTCTAACTTTAAGTACAATGTTCTTTTTGCCCCCATTTTCCTTAAAACATCCTTGTTGCTTATATGTTCAGTTCATTGTAGCAATCAACCAAACCACATTTCTGTTGCTTCTTCATTATTTGATGACAGTTTGAATTTTACATTTTTAGGTAAATTAGTAAAGAGGATTAAAAAAAAATAATTTCACCTTTATCTAAAAGGGTGTAAGCTATAGGTTGTTTTGTATTTTTGAAACAGAACCATTTGATTTTAACCGATGAGAATAACCTTTCCTGATAACTACTTTTTTCTTTTAATACTTTAATTGTGCCATTAAAATCTTGAAATATTCTTTTTTTAGGAGTACAAGGTTCTTTCATCTTTCCAGTAAAGAAAATTCCCAAGTGAATCATTAGCATAAAAAATTCAATTTTTCAAAAAGGAGTTTGATTTAAAACTGTATTGTAAAAATATTTGCTAATATATTTACAAAAAAAAAAAAAAAAAAAAAAAAAAAAAAAAAAAAAAAAAAAAAAACAAGAAAAATCAGAAAAGAAAAAAAGTTTGCCATAACTAATCTTTATTATCTAAAATTTCATAATTTGACAAAGAATTTACAAACCTTCTGCAAGGTTTGGTATAATGGAGATATGAATTTAGGTTAACTTAAATATTACCCAAATATAAACCAAGCTTAATTTCAGCTTGTTAGTAAAAAACTAATTACAAACCAGATTTACCTGGTATAGTATTACCAAACTTATTTTGGTAATGTTAATTATATAACATTATATAAAAAAATCACTAATTTAAATAAATATTTTCTCACAATCATTTGTTTGTATATGAAAAGTAAAAACAAATCTCAAAACTTGCAAATACCTTGTAACAAGATTTTTCCACTAGAAAGAATTTATTTTTTATTAAGAAAATCAAACATTTATGCACAAATATTGCTGAAAGAAATGAAATGCAAATTCTACCTTTTCTTCACAAGTTTAGTCTGGAAACTTGTTTATACTGGACTAAACTCAACATTGCAATTTTTTTTTCTATGCAGTATTCTAAAATAGCAATAGATATTTCCAACATTTCTAGTGTTTTTTTTAGTTTTTTTTATTCACATATATATTGTAAAATGTTGAGAGAAAAAAAATCTAAAACATTTGCTTTTGGTGTGTGAAATTATATCCCAAGATATGTCAAATGAAATTTAGTGTTTATTTTTTTTTTTTCCTTAAAGTGAAAAATGCAGATACTGGACTTGAAAGCATTAAGAACTACATGCCCAAAATGGTGTGAATTATAAAGGCAACATGGGAAACTTAACTAAAGTAAAATGGATTTAAGTGAGAACATGGTAATGTAACCATAAAAGAAAAGCATCTTCATATTAATAGATGGCAAAGCTGATAAGAAAAGGTCAAAAATATTTGTCTCTTTCAAACTGAGACATACATGCATAAACAAGTGTGTGTGTGTGTGTGTGTGTACACAGAAAAAAAGAAAGAAATGATTGTGCCTATCCATACGCATAAGTGCATAGAACCAACTATAACAAGTATTCTTAGAGCTGACTCAGTTTCTTTGTAAGGCCCATCTCTCCTGGTATATGGTGTATAGAAAGTAGGGGTATTTTAAAGTGAAAATCAAATCACTTTTTCCAGCTACAAATGCAGTCATGTCTTTCATTATGAAAGAAAGTCATGATGGCAAGTAAATCCTTGCTTTTGTCTCACTTCTTGCTTGTTCACTTTAACTCTAGAAAATATACCTGCTGGTATAAGATTTCTGTTGGCTGCTGTTATGCCATTATTAATGCCATATAGCTGTACAAATTTTTATCCTTTCTTTGAAATAACTTAATATGATGAAAGAAAAAAAAAAAAAGAGTACAGATTTACATACATCAAGATTTGTACCTAATTACTTACTCATATAGAAACATATCTCACTAAATTATGACTCCAGTTGCTCATAATCTATAAAATTATATATAAAACTCACACTAAACTATGAAATATTTTAAAGCTACAAAGTCAAAGGGAGCAAGCAAATTTGGATCTAAAAGTAAAGCAAGTAAAGAATTGATGTAAAAATATTCCTTGAAATGCATATTTAAAATATGATTGCATATTTACATGCATTACTAATAATATGATACCAAGATGGCTCCACAATACAATTTGTTAATCAATATCACAAATAATGAAGAATGTGACTTTTTCTATGTTTCTTTGTCTATGACTTTTTTATCACTAAATCAAACAGATAACTAAAATTAACAAGTAAATCTTGCTCTGATTTGAACATCCAACCTGAAGGTAAGAAGGCAAGTGACATATCCACTACATCACCATTCTGTTGCTTGAACAGCAAAGTAAAAATTAATTTGTACATACTATTTCAGGTAGAAATATGATACTGATCTTCATTAGATAGATTTAATCATAGCATAGTGCAGATGCTATCCAGGTTCAAAGAAGTAATGCTGATCCATACATAAATAATCTTATTTGTGATCACTATACTCATGCTAAGGAAAATATTCTCTCATGTAAAACACTATTCCACTTAAAATTATGTTTCCTTAGAAATAATTTCAACATAATTTATTCTGTAATCTTTATTACTGACAAAGTCAATTCACAGATTTTTATATCACTGACCAAGGATAATACTTATTTTTCTCTAAGTCTAAAGCAATTTATGAAAATTCAAAGTTTATGGATTACAGTCTATGTTTTGAATTTAGCATGCTACTCTAATTTGCATTTTAGGAGTTAACCATTTTTTTGCAAATTATATTAATAATTATAATCCCACCAAATTTTGTAGGCTGTTATTCTGAGTCAGTTTTGAAAATCAGCTTAAAAAAGGTGTCTGAAGAAATAGGACAAAGTAGCTAAGAGGTGGTTTTGAATGCTGGGATATGTCAGAAAATTAAAACCCCAAAAGGAGCTAAAATGCAAAAACTCAAAATATGTGCATGCTTCATTTGACAGAAGCAGGTAATGCCAACCACCAAGAAAGGAGGCAAAGAATCAACACAAACCTCAACTCAATTTGTAAAACAGTAATAGAAGAAAAAAAAAAATTGACCAAGCCATTTCTCATTTAGTCAAATTGTATTTGAATGTTGGTTGCTTCATCTCCCTGTTCTCTGCCTTTTCTTTATTTGCAGCAGCAAAGGAAGTAGGCAGATTCTGGCATCCCAAATGCGATTGGGTTAAGAAAAAAAATTTTCTCAGAAGGAAAGGAAAATAAAAAGATAAAAAAATTTGTTTTCTTTTCCTCTCTTTCAATATAATCCTTAGGTTTTAAGGCTTACTTCCAGCAAACATAAAATCATGATGTGTATAAGAATCAAATGTTTTCTAGTTATGGCTTTTAGGAACTTGTTCATGCATATATTGTTGTGAGTGTGTGGTTCTATATAAAAGAATATAGAGTGAATAACTTTATAAGCACACATATGTATGCATATGCACATTTGTAATTGTGCCTGTATTTTTAATAATTTTTTTTGTCTTTATAAAAAAAAAGATCAACACTCCTGGTTTCTTAAAAAATGTTTTTTTGCTTTTAATTCTAAATCACAATCAGTGTATATAATAATGACAATGTCTGTTATATTCTTTATTGTAATCATTTTCAACATCAACTTCCAGTATTTCTTACTTCCAACTTTATAATCTGAAACCTCTTGTTTAACTCATTCTGAATCCTTGTAGGCTAAAAGGTTTTAACTATTGATTCTACCCAACTAAAAACAAGAGAAAAAAAAGCACAAGAAAAAAAAAAAAACAAAGAAAAAAGTAGTAATTACAATAAAAAGTGAAATAAACATTAACTCACCAATGGCCCTCAAGAAGCGAATCAAGTCTCTTGCCACATTCCATTGGCTACGGTCCAGGGCTGCATCCAGAAGCTGAGTAGCATGCTGTCAAAATAAAGAAGATACAGTCATAACAGTAATCAAATGTGGCATACATCAACTCTGCACAAGCCAAACAGTCACAACAGCAAAAAGATCTCAAGGCACCTTTCAAGAGTGATGTTCTGCAGACCACCAAAGATAACAAAAAGAAAGAAAAATTAGTTTTATATCTGAAATTCCAGACAGTTTACAAATTCCTTACTGGACATAGGACTCATATAGAAGAGGTCAGTGGGGAAATTGAAAATAAAAGTAAATAAAAAAAAAAGTAAGATAAAAAGAAGTAACACAAGATAGTGGCCTAGAGAGATTCGAAAATCATGGGGACAACATTAAAGAGTAGAAGGCAGAAAGGAAAAGAACAAAAAGAGGGAAGGTGGCAGTAAAGGTTGTAGGAAAAGAGGAAGCAACTCAGGTATATGTAGTGATGGTAGAGGGTTGGAACAATATAGATTAGGTAATGATGAAGATTTAAAACAATACAGGTATTGGAAGGGGAAGAAATATTCAGAAGAGTAGGTGGTTGGGATGAAAGGTGTTGATAAGAAAGAAAGTCAAAAAGCATTCTCCGATCTCAGAATGGCAATAAAACTGTATCTCAAGTATTAAATTCTATGCTTTGTAACTTCAAGCTTCAGTTTGTAAACACAGCCATACTAGATTGATTGAATCAATCTTCTTGAATGAGATTTGTCTTCTCAGGTGAACAAAGTGCAGTGCACCAAGTTTGAGCCATTTGCTCAAAGATTAAGACTAAAGAAAAGGTAAAAGGAATTATAATCCTGCTCTGTATGCTTGTACCATATCAAAAGTTACGAAGTATTGGTAAATAGACATTGCTTTTAGAAGTAACCTCCAAATATTACAATCTTTTATATTCATTAAGAAAATTCCTTCCAATGTTATTGTCATTTTTATTTACTTTTAATCCATTTTGATGATTTACGCTCACTGATGAAGTTAGATCAAAGTTCATTGATAAAAAAACCTTTAAAAAATATTTTGAATGAGGTTGCCAAAACACTAAAATAAATTAGATAACTTTACATGATATATTGTTCATTGCTTTTTGGGGCTGATTTGTAATTTAGAGAAAAAAAAGATTTAAAAAAAAAAAAAAAAAAAATCAATGTTAAATTTATATTCGTCATATTTTGTAATTTTATTGATCAAAGAATTTTCTTTTACTTGAATAAAAAGAGTAGAGAAGATAAAGTCTGTAAGTTTAAAGCTCAAAGTGAAAGCTTTTATTTCACACATTAGATAGCTTGGTTATAAAGATAATAATGTCAAAAATTATTTTAATTCATGTATTATGAAAATAAATCCTATAATAGTTTGAATTCATTGACAGTCTGACTGAAGTTTATTTCAGATTTTAAGCACCATATCAATAACAAACACACTACAGGTAGCCTTATTCTTATTTTGTGGATCAGAACAAACAGATTCTAAGGATTTAAATTTATTTAGATACTTATCAGAAAAATTTGGTCCATAGGAAGAACAAAAAGTATTTTACTGTTGCCACTAGGTGTAATTGTTCTAGTATTAACAACAATTATTATAACAATCTACTTTTTAATCTTAACTAGTAAGTTTCACTCACTTGAAAATTAACTGATTTTTTATATGCTAAAAAGAAAATTTCTTCAAAGAATAGTGTTGAAAATCTCAAAATACAATCCAAAAATTACAAAAGCAATTTTTAAATTATATAAAAGGGAAAAAATGAATATAAGTATTAATAAAATTATGTAAGTTTGTTTTTGCAAAAATATTTCAATAGCAGCTAAGTAAAACAAAAACTCAGGATTCCTGCAGAGAATAATTGAAAAGTTTTAGTGGAAATAGCATCAAAAGAAAACTGAAAAGAATGTCATAAAAGCTGAATAAATATATAGCTGATGTTATATGAAACAAAGATAGCAGCTATATTATTTTTTAACTACAAGTTTCTTGGTTACCTTGTTTCACTGGCAAAATAAAAGAGAAATGTACCATGAATTGCAAAGAAGAAGTTTCTAAGAAATAACCTCTAGTGACTTGGTGACCAAAATCTTGTTTATCAAAGTAGACAGCTTTTGATACTGAAGTAATAAACATCTGGAACCAAAGTGATGGTGGTTGGCAGAGCAGTGGGGATTTAGAAACAGACTAACACAAGATTATTGAATTATTTTGGTCAAGTAAACATTTTGATGAAAAACAAAACTGAACAAGTCAAATCTTGCAATACTTGGAAACTTCATAGTTGACAAGACATCAAATGAAGAAAAAAAAATGATGAAAAGTAAAAAGTTCAATACAGTTATAAATTTTTATAATTTTCCAATGTACAAGATGTCTAATTGTGATTTCATAGTTTTATTGATTCTAGATATTCTCATGGCAATAAAAGCTTGATTTGTATATGCACTAAAGAAAATGAAGTCATAGAATAATTTGAACAAGTAAACAGAGTCTAAGATTAAAATCATATCTATCTTGTATTGATAAATAATCTATTTAGAAAAGAATACATAAAGATATTTAAAAACAAAAAGGAAAACAACATTTATATAAAGTTTGACTTCATACACAAGATGACTTGTCAAAGTGAAGGAAGTGTAAATTTGATTCACAGATCAACTTTAAACACTGGGGTTTTAGTTTAATTGCTTTGTAGTTTAATTGAATTTGCATTGTTTGCTTAAATATTTGATGAAGTTTTTTTTTTTTTTTTAATTTCAAAAGATACATTATTTATTAAAATTCTGATGAACAGTGTCCCATCTCCCTCCAAAAGTGTTTATGATATTAAATTTTTTAATGATTTATTGAGAGATTTTATTAGTTTTTTTTTTTTTTTTACAATGTTAAAAATTTATTAATCCCTAACTGAACAAAAATAATTGATATATATTCAAATAGATTAGTAGATATTTATTGTATACCTGGTTATAGTGCTAATGAGTAACAATTTAGGTAAGAGTCATTGTGAAAAAATTATAGACTGAACTGATAAAACAGTTTGCTTATAAACCAAGTAAAACTCACTTGTGAAGCATAAAGCCACAGCCTCAGCATGCTAGCTGATAAAACACTAATAGACAATATTTTTAGTTGATTGGTAATCAGTACACTTGGGTAAACCTGTAATTGTTTTAAGCTAAAAAATAAACTAAGATGTAATTGTACATTTTAGCTTCCTTCAACAGATATATATATATATATATATATATAGCACAACAAAAAGGAGCTAAAAGTTTTTTCATCTTTCTCTATTTATCTATTCCAACTATATCATTTAAAAAATATTTTAATTTAAATACTTAATCAATTTCAAAATGAAGCTCTCTACATGAAAATATTTGTTTAATTATTTAGAAAGACTTTATAATATTGCTAATAGTTAATATGATAGTAACTTTTACTGAAAAAATGTTTTTATTTGCTTTATTTTTCATGGTTCGCAATAAAATATATGTAAAATTTTATTCAAGTAACAACTGCTTTATAATATTCTGTTAAAAAGACATCTATAGCCTTACCTGGGATTTTATTATTTTCCCAATTTCCTTGATGGTGAAAGTTCACACAACATGACTCAATGAAATGCAAAGTTTTACCAATGTTTAGTAAAAAATATGTTATAATTTTATTGTTGCTCATGTGCTCAAACACGTTTTATAAAAAATTACAGTCAATGAATTCCCCATTGATATTTAACAAGTTTGGATTCTATTGGTGACAGTCCTTCCCTCGCTGAAATCTCAAATGACTAACTGAATTCTGTGAATTTAAAATTTCAATTTGAATGCATATATTTGCTCTTCAAGATACATATTTATTAAAATGACAGAGCAAGAGTCTACTCTTTGCCAAAAGACAGAAGAAATCAACCAATTTGGCAATCATATTTTTAATAAGACCAAACAGTATGCTAAAATATTTATAGTTTAAGGACATTTTCACAAAGAAAACAATCTCTCAAGAGGAGTACATTGTTAATAATGTTCAAGATAATTTCAATTGCAGAAATAAATATATAAAAAAAATATATTTAAAAAAATAGCGAAAAAAACAAATGAAGAAGTACAAACTTCTGATATCTATATGCTTTTTGTCAAATCAAGATAGAAATGATTATATATATATATATATATATATATATATATATATACACACACACACAATGAAAAAAGGGATTGTATATTTTTGGGTGAACAAGTGTAATTATCTCATGTGTAATAATAGATGATAGAACATTGATATTGAAACTACAGAGTAATGATGAAATTGATCTTATTAATCTGTTTCTTGATAACTACTTGGCATTTTTCTTATGAAGTTAAACAGAATTCAGTTTGACTTTTTTGTGTATTTCTGCTAAACTGTGAGCTTCCTTTGAAAGGGAGCATAAAAATAAACTTGATAATTTTTCGTATTTAACTTGCCACACAAATCATTTCAAATGTAACAGTTTTTGTTTTTTTCAAATTATGAGGGTAAGATGAAAATCAACATTAATAAACTCATCCTGGATAATTTTCATGAAATGCTTGTCCTATATTCCTAATTGGTTTGAGCAAATGTTTTCATCTTCCAAAGAAATTTCAAAATTTGTAATGAGCATCTGATTTCCGCCCAACTTAATCTAATCAATAAGTTTGCCTCATTTTGAGAAATTCAAACTCCAAACCTTGAAAATTTATCAAGTCTAACTGAAAAATTTCTCTATGAAATTATGGATTGCTGTAATTTGAACATTGATTCAAACTAATATCTCCATATTTATAGCTTTTTATTACATTTCTGTATTAAATGAAAAAAAAAAATAATCAGGATTAATCAGTTGCTTTAACCCCATTGCTTTTCTCAAAGATGTTTGCATAAACTCTGGAATCATTCCAGCACGGAAAGTGGTTTAGAAAAATTTAATCATTTTTGTTAATAAAGCTAGTTTAAATTATGATACTGTTGATATCAAACTAAAATTTTATATTCTTTTTAATGTATTCATGAAATACACTGCCAAGTTTATTTTTCTTGAAACTATGAGTACCAACATTACTGGAATCAAATTTCTATTTCATTGTTGAATGAATTTGTTTATTTTAAATGCTTTTATAACTCAGCTGTCTTAGCTTATTACAAAACATGTTAATAGTCATTTAAAGCAATCTCATGAGATTTTCAAATGCATGGAACATCTATAAATACTGCCATTCAATTACAGCATCCATTTATGAACATATATCATTGGAAAAGTAGGGATGTTGGTCTTAATATTTCAGTTTTAAGGTATTGTTTCACAGAGAACTCCTATTTTAGAAAACAAATAGCTGAATATCAAAATTCTTTATGCATTGCTCAAGTTTTTATTGTTTTCTATGAATATTTTTAGTTTTACTTGACATAAAAATAAATGAGTGATACTACTCATAGAAAAATAATGCATAGAAGATTAAAAGAAATAATATGAAGTTTCATTGTTTAATTGTCCATATGATATATTATTTAAATCAAACAGAACTACAAACTGATAGTCATCATTATAAATCTAATAATCAACTGGCTATT